AACTTTCAATTTAAAATCTTCTTAGGTGACAGAATTTAATTTTATTTATATTGTATCAGTGAAAGGGGTTTTATAACCTTTGATTACGTTGAATGGCGACATGAGAGAGTGTTTATTACTGTGGCTTTTTTTACAGCACCTGACTAGACCCAAGAAAAAAGTGTTTTGGCCTACATTGATAATTATGAGCATGATCTTACTGAGTAATTGGCACTTAATACCATCTTTATTGCTCTTGTGACAACTACACAGTAATAGGTCATCGGTCAGATCAAACACTGTGTGACCATTACCAATTGAGTCTGACCATGCCAGGCTAAGAATGATATCATGCCTCTTTCTTATACTTTTACCTTAAGCTAGGTTTTGGAGGAAAACTGATTTGTATTCAAAACCACAGAAAACATATTTGTCGATTTCTGAATATTTAAAAACTGGGGGAAAAGGCAGAAAAAGCCTGGTTCCGTCCCTTTTCCCCCAGGTTTTAAATATTAAAAAAATCAGTATCTTATTAACCGATCCCAAGTTTTTTGTCAAATACTGCATGTGTTTTGTCTCTTAGAAAAATCAGTTCAACTTATCCGAAATGTAGTCCCTCTGGAGCCTGGGTTTAAATCCGACTTTTCTCAATGTATGCTTACAAACTCATAAGGATCAGTATCATATTATTTTTAGCTTGGCAAGTAGATTTCACATTGGGAAAGCAAAGAAATATATGTAGTTTTAAGTATGCAATATGCATATATTAATATAATATTTGATATAGAGTTCAGCTGGTGATAGTACAGTGAAATAGGTCAATGTGACTTGAATCTACGACCTTTAGATTAGAAAGGGAAGTATTAATGTTGGGAGGCAGCAGTGAAGTCTCTTTTACCTAGCTTATGTAAGTAATGTTGACAAACTAGATGTTGGTGACCGATTTTGAATAGCATGATTTTCTTGTGTAAAGCGTCCTCCACACTATCAAACAACTTGTATGTCCATATAATAGTCATGATGTGCCTATATAAGGCTCAATAAAAAAAATTATTAGTTTATCACCCTCGCACGCATACCTTCTATGGTACTGGAAAAATTTTTTTTAATTTATTTTTTTAAAATTTTATTTATTTATTTTTTTCATTTATTTTATTAAATAATTAGTAGATATTGTTTGCATTATCTAAATCATGTTTTACTTTGAATATCAATTCACACTAGAACCAGCAAACAACCCAAGGGTAATATTTGGCTTTAGCAAAATAAAAAAATTTTAAAAAAAGCCTTCCTCCCTCCCTCATCACTTTTCCTGCCCAGATAGGGTGATAAACTAATAATATTTTTTATAGGGCCTAATATGGTCATAATATGATGTCACAATGATTTCATCATGACCATATTTAGGCATGTCACATGTTTTTGTCAAATAAAATTTTATAATCTAGACAGGGCTCTGTCCACACTCAAATTTTGTGTGATAAATTTGCATGATTTGACCAAATATGGGCATATCAAATTCTTTGTCATAAAATTTGATGATAATGTGGATGTCATATTACACCCAAATATGGATATATCACATTTATTTGTCACATAAAATTTGATAGTGTAGATGAAGCTTAAGAGTAGTGGGTTATGGACAAGTTGTCACCTTCCTTGGATTCATTTAAACTCATTTATTTCAATCCATTTTTAGTCTACTCTGTTTCCACGTTCATATCTACATTGTCTTTTTACGCTTCTATTTATTACTCTACTACTTTATTCAGTTCATGCTCTATACATACTTTTGCGTCTTTGATCATCTATTTTGAAATTAGCACATAGCAAATACTTTTTTTTTATTATCATTATTATAAAGATTACAATAGATGGTGGTATGTTACCTAAAATGGATGAGCCATTGAAGTTGTTGGTTCCGCCTGTAATATGGCTCTCATGCATGTAAAAGAATTAGTACACTCTTCGGCAAAGTATAGGACACTCTTCTTATTTTCTGCCCGATCACCACCAGAAAGACCCTGCTGGAAATACAGTAGGTCTTCGGACTTTCGTATATTAGCTTTGTTTCTCTCAGAATAAATCCAATCTAATTAAATCATGATACTACATGTTTCTTATACCTTTTTTTTTTCACATCATATATTTTAATTTTTTCTTTATGTGCACATTTTTTTCCAAAGAAATAAGGGAAATTCCCTTTTTGGCATTTAAACATTATTTTTGAAGAAAGAGATATTTGTAATGATTTGTTAGTTTCTTGCACTTAAACATGCCTGTGATAAGTAGGTAAAATTACTCTCACCCAACCAGATTTACTTAAAAGGCATTACTTAGCGCAGTATTTATTAGCAAGTAACACTGAAGGGAAAGTTCCCTGTTAAAAAGATTCATTTGTTTAAATATGAAATTTTATAATTTTTATCTATTTAAGGCAGGACTTTTTATAACTTGTTTACCAAATCTGCTGGCCACCAATAATATGGTTTCAAATGAAAATAAAATTATATTTTTGGCCAATTAGAGCACCCGCCGACACAAAATAAAATAAAAATTTCATAAATAATAAGTTTTTCTTGCCTGCCGCTGCCTTGAAATCTCCAAAAATAAGATATGTGTTTTTCTTTCTAATTATATAAATTTAGAGCATTTAACTATTTTATTACTGCACTGTTTAAATTTACCAATAACATTTTATTTTTATTTTCTCCTTCGTTTGGATGGTTTGGTGAAACAATTTGCTAAATGGAAACCCAAAATTTGTTTGCACCCTCCAACGAATTAAAAACTATTTTCGCCTAATTCTTAACGCGGTAATGGTTTGAGGCCTGGTTCGAAGGTACTGTACTTAATCACCGTAGTAGTAATCACGTCGTCGTCCAAGATAATGCCAAGTGGTCATTGATATGCAAAGATAAAATGGTTCAATATGTTTCAGTTCAGTATTTTCTATCATGCAGCTAACTTGGTACTCTGTACTTACAAGTGTCACCTTGTTTAAATATAAAATTTTATATTTTTATTTATTTAATTCTCATGTTTAGGAGCTGTGTTTGTAAGTACTGTAGTGATACTTAGTTACCGTGTAAGTAGTCATGCATGATAACGCTGAGTGGTCATTTATATGCATAAATAAAATGGTTCTGGAAGTTTCAGATTAATGTTTTCTTTCGTGCAGCTAACTTGGTCCCTAAACTTACAATATCATATTTTTAGATTGTTCTTCCATTTGCATAATATTGTTTCTTTGTCTTGTCATGTATCATGGGTATTGTTTATATGAACCTGTGTAAACTTTGTTCTATTGACGACAACTTCAATTAATCTTAATCTTTTTTTTGACGGTTCGCTCCGAAGGTTGGCTAGACTTCATGTCTACGCCATACGTCAGTGTTGGACTTTTTGGTGCAAACATTGTCAAACAATATATAATTATGATGAAGGTAAAGATTAATTAGTACAAAGATAACGATCAAGAGGAGGCGGCATAAATATAGCAACGTCAAAGTGCTTTGTTGCGTATTTGTACCAGAACGTAAACAAAGTGACACAAATGTGTTTAAGATGAAATTGTAAAAGGAACCAAGGCCTAGATTAAGTGCGAGGGCATGGCCAACGAACAAGCAATTGTATCTAGTATCTAGGTTATATTATACAACACTATACACATGTACAGATAACTCGGTATCCCCAAAACTTAATTGTGTCTGGTGGGGGATAGTTTCACAGGTAGTTAAGATGCTGTGTTTTTGTTGTTTTTGTTAATTCATTTTGTTTTAACTAACTTTTGTTTTAATTAACTTTCTTGCTATGTATGGTGGATATAGTATGTGTGATTGGGCTCTAAGTTATAAGCTTTATTAACAAGAACATATTTTCCAGTCTGTCTATATTATAGTATTTCACTTGACATTTACACAGAGGTACGTGGTCTGGTTTTATGGGAAAAGCTGCTATTGATTATCATTGATTGTATGTTCAAATTATCGTCATATTCTTCTTAATATTGTTATATTCCATTGATTCTAACTCTTAAGTGTTATCAATTAATGCTGGGTAACTAAGTTCTGTTTGTTGTTGAGTGGGTGGAAAATCACAGAAGTTTTAACTAAATACGTACATTCATTAAATTACTAATTGCATTGCAAACAAGTAACTTAATGTGGATTTGCACAAAGCACCTTCAACAGTTATTTTTGTAATTCTGTTTTGATTCTATTAATACAGCTGTATGTTTAATTTTAATTGCTTCTATTGCTATTCCATTAAATATATGTTTTCTGTTGATTAATAAATTGAGTAAATAAATTTGACAAGCTTTGATAGTAATAATGGAATTAGGTGACACTTTTTTATATATTAACAAATTCAATATTTTAATACTGTAGTCATTATTCTTTTATCATAATTTTGTGATGATGATAGACCATCACTGTATGATAAAGTCTCCTAAATTTGTAGCTAAAATGTAGTTGCATTATGAGTTATGGAAAAAAAAATAAAATGTTTGGCAATCCGGGTGGTAATTTTTGACGTTTACACCAATGATATCTCGGCAGTTTCTAGCCCGGGTATTGCGAAATCTTGGGTTGTGTCCGGAGTTTTGCTTGCATTGTAAAAGGGGTATAATATGCTTGGAAAAGATCATTAATGAATTTGGCCATCCACTTAATAGCGTTTAAAATCTGGAAGACAAGGCTACTCCGTGTAAGAACAAGTGAGGTAGAATGTATTTTACTTTCGACTATATTCACATAGCCTATGATATTTTAATTTTAACTTCTCTGTTGTATTCACTATAGTAAGAATGTTAAATATGTTTGCCTTTACTTCGTAAAGGCAAACATACATGTACATGTATGTACATTTAATGTTTTTATTGTTTTTGTATGATACTTTTTGAAATTGCAACAAGCCCAAGTCCACATGTTTGAATTATGACAATAAAGTTTATCTTATCTATTATTTGAATTCAAAAAATAAAGTTTCTTTTGTATTCAATTTGTTACTTTATGCAGCTCGAATTGGCCGCTTTAAGCTACGCAGAGAAGAAGTATCAAATATGCTGACCAACACACCACCCAAGACTAAAGGATCAAAGAACTTCTTCAGATCGTTGCTTGGTAGAGGTACTGGTAATATTCATTTTATTGTGTCTCCATTGTAATAATCAGATACGCATACGTGAATGCATTAGATAAATGTGATATGATTTTTGATTAACTTGTAGTATGCAGAGCAAACATTATGTTTAAATTATTACATGCTTACTACAGTATTTGCCTAAGTTCCAACATGTTGCTGCATGTGGGATACCTTTTAAATTTTTAATATGCATGAGTGCTTAATGAATATGAATCATACTGCATGAGTAAGAATATGTATGTGAGATGAGTATGGTAGTGTTTCTACAGAAGCCTTATGCTGTAAAATAGCATTGTATGAGTTAGTATTTATGTAAATAAGTATTTATGTATGAGTCAGTATACATATGAGATGAGTATGTAATGAGTAAGAGTATATATATGAGATGAGTATGGTAGTGTATCTATGTAAACCTTATACTTAATAGCATAGCATTGTGTATACAAGTATATATGAGTAAGAATATATGAGATGAGTATGGTAGTGTTTTTACGTAAGCCTTATACTGTAACATAAAGTATCATTGAATTACATCAATCTAAGTTTGCTAAAGTCTGCTTCTCTTTTGCTTGTGCTTCTCTATATCTCATCAGCCGACAGAATAAGCGGTAAGTCTGCTCAGACAAAATTCAAGTAAATGCATGTACTTCATGTTTTTGTCATTTTCATGCTTATGCTCATTTGCAAGATACTTGCCTCATTGTTATTTTTCTTATATTCTTTCTTTTATTTCCTTAGTTTCATATAAAATATTTTATTTTTATTAAACCATAATTTAGCATAATTACTTGCTTTTTTGTGGTGGCAAACTGTGATTTTTTGTTCATGTGTTATCAAAATTTATTCCTGTTTTTTTTTTTTTCCATAAGTGTTGTAGGCATTTTTGATTAAATAAGTGCGCTATTTTAATAACAGTTCACAAATTACAATTTGGTGTTTTCACATCATCATAAATAGCAGCTCAATCAAGCGACAGCCAAAAATCTGTCACTAAAGAGCTGACGAAGGTAACACGATGTTGCTGAAAGCGACTATGGAAATAAACACCTGACTCTGACGGAAACTTTAGTCTTTTATATCAACGTGACGAAGTTTAATTATATATAAAATAATTAATTTAACAATTTTATACAAATGAACATAAAATAGAAAAATACTAGATAGCTCAGCAGTACCTTGTATGATTGCTCAAAAGAAGGCAGTGTCTATCTATTTGGGAGCTCTCTAGTACTAACTGGAGAAACATAATATTTAACAAAAAAATTAAAATTATTTTTTTCAAAGCACTAAAAGTATTACAATTAAAATTATTATTATTATATTAT